AAAATTATAAAAAAAAAACAAGCCAGGTGACGTAAGTTCTTATATGAACATCCTTGTACATGTTTTTCCAAATTTGGATAATGAAAACATGAAATTTGCATAGGACACTGGCCACCAAATGATCTACTTCGAACATCCGGATGCAGCGCTTTTCAGAAGAATGCGCGATGATGTCTCAGAGGTTTGCTTCCGATATGCTTAGCACAGCAGTTGTAACTATGATTTGAGAACTCAACACGACAGTCAAAACAGCAAGCATGGACGAGGTGGTCAACTTGCCGGAAAGATAAGGGCGAGCGTGTAAGGTACTCAAAATGTAAAACGTACATCGATGTCAGGAAGTGTCCAAAAGAGACAGAGAAATGCGAAGGTATGCATGATTGCAATATTTCTTTTGGGGTCCTAACAAATTCCGCGCAATGGATGGAGACGAGTTTTCCTCCTAGTTTTCCTACAATTTCACTTATATATGAACATTTCAGTATCAAGTACCACCTCCTCTTCACAAACTTCATGATCTGGGTAAATATATTTATTTCGACTTTGACGATCTGTTACGTGGTTATTTATTACAGTGTAAATAAACGATAAATATAAAGAACAATATGATAAAGAACTTTATGTATATCATGTAAAATGTGACAAAACCATTTGAAAAGGACCAGTAAAATATACCCGAGTGAAGAGAACCTACTAATGACGGAAAGTGAAATGCTCCATTATTTCTTTATCCATATCGATGAGCAAATTTGACACATCCAATCGTAGAGCATTGTGTTTTTGAATTTGTGCTTTCATCTTTTTATCACATTCTTCCTCCGCACTGAAATCGTTATGACTTCACGTACGAAATTTCAAAGCAGGAATATGCAATCATCTTTGACCCAGATCGTAAAACGGCTGTAAGTAATAGCTATGGTGAAAACACTCAGTTTCTAATCGTCGAAATCTTGCGGTCAAGGCAAAAATCAAAACACTGTGGCGGTGTAACCCCGGCGAAGATAACCGGACACACCTACCAAAACTACTCCCTTACTGTAAAGAAAGGATGAGGTTTGTAAGAAAAAAATGCGATCTCGCT